TGACTTCTTGACTGCCGATATGACTTTGCAGCTTGTGCGCAATCTCGTGCAGCAGAGTGTCGAAAAAATTGACAAGATGAGAGAGGTTGCGGGTTCAGCGTTGATTCGTTTTGTGTGGGGATGGCAAGGAGACGGTCAAGCATCCTTACCCGATGGACTAGTTTTTGAAGGCCGAGAAGCTCTCCGCACCATTCTTCCCCGACCCCAAGAAAGCATACCAGACGCGTCGAGCGGCCCAGAAACTAATCCAGGCTCGACAGGAATTATGTGGAACTCGGCATCGGAAGTATACCCCCTTCTTATACCCTTGCTCAATGTCCCGCAGGTCCGCCGGGCTACTCTGAGCGGTCTTGTTGTTGCCGTAGGAGGCATGTCCGAGTCGCTGGTTCGCCATTCAAGCAAATCCCTCCTGGACTTTTGCGAAAATTTGCCGCTCTCGGCTCCGTCCCCAACCTTGACTCTTCCGCTCTTCTTCCAGGATCTTTTGGACATCTTGACCTCACATCGACATTTGGACAGAGTTACGAAACCGATCCTGGAGGTCTTGGAGCTCATGCTTACTTCTGGCCTTGTATCCAAGCTGGTTGAAACCGGTGACGAAGAAGCTGTTTTGACGGAAATGGTCAAGGCAGTGCGTTCCGAGGTGTTTAAAAGTCGAGACTTTAAAAAAGTCATAAGTGGGATCAAAGTGTAAGTCGCATCTCAAACTTCTTGACTGTTCTTTTACTTTTCCATTGAAATTTCTTTTTTCTTTTACATAGATTTTCCGGAATTCTCAATCTACCACCCTTGTCACCAGCAAGTGCAACTCTATCACCCAAAGTTCAGTCGTTATCCTATCTTGTCACATATCTCATCCATCCGTTCCCGAAAGTCCGTCGCTCAGCAGCCGAAGACTTGTACCTAGTTTTGAGCGGATTGGATCCTGATGACCAGGACGTGGTGTTGACCGAGGAAGCCAGAGAGGAGGTTGAAGGTGTCTTGTTGGGAACGGATTGGTAAGTTTTTGAGAAAGGTTTCTGGTTTTTTGCGTTTAGCTAATACAAGGTTATCTCAAAGGGATGCCAATACAAAGCTGTTGAAGGAGCCCAAGGAGACTGTTGCACGAATATTTGGCCTGGCTGCAGCAAAATCATAGTCTTCAGCGAATTACATGCCCCCCTTCCCACTCCCTTTGGATCAAATATAGATACCGCAGATAGTCTTAAATACCGCCTTTGCCTCTCAATCTTAAGCGTATGTTTCTTGGACATTCTATTTTGTTTAAAATGGTTGTATATGAAAAAGTCTATTGTATCAGAGAGGAGAGTGTGTGTGCATACGGAGGAGCTTCGGGCCATCCCTTTGCGGACGCGGTGTAGTGATGTACAGACCAGCCTATTTAACGAACCGAAGGTAACCTGTTGACGAACGAAACGTGCGGTGAGGGTGAAATGATACGAGACGGGGGGTGGAGGGAAAGGAGAAAGAGAAAGATATGATCAGTTGGTATGCCCGCAAGACAAAAGATGCCAACCCCCCTTCCCAGAAAACGCACTGGTATCTAAGCAAATAGCTATACATGGAATGATAGGGGCAAGGGGGCGCCAATCTATCTCGATGGTTTTGGGGAGGGAGTTTTCCCGAAAGTCAGCAACATACTGAAGAATAACGCTCCGGCTGCGCAGAATAAGGCTGTGTGTGTGTAAAGCGGAAACAGTGGGATTGGCGAAAAGAAGATACATGGAAATGGTAATAGAGATATAGGTGGGGGAAAAAGATATCCAGCGATTAGCACAAACTTTCGACACTTTGCAAAATGCACTTTGCACTTACGGAAAAGAGTCTTGAACAAGTCCCACTGGATCGTCTCCATTTGCGTTCGCACGGTCGACACTTCTGTATCGATCCGCGAGTCTGACTCTTTGATCTTGAGCTCTTGCGCCGATTGCTCATCCCGAATCCGACCCTTTTCCAAACTCAGTTCCAGCCTGACATTGGACTGCACCCGCCGCAGATCTTCAATCATTCTTGTGCGAAACTTTTCTACTTCAGTGTTTAACCGGCTAATGTCGGTTCTGAGAAGGGCAAATTCGTTTTTTTCGAGCAGTTGGATTTCGTTTCGGACATGCGCGAAGTCGACCTTGTTCATGTACATTGCCTATTATGCGGGGTCAGAAGACGTTTTTTTGCTCATCAAAACAAAATTCCGAGGCATACCTTCTCAAAATCCGATTTGGTGACAGAGGTGCGGCTGATATTGTTGATGCTACAAAATAATGGTCAGTCCCGCATATACTTCACTTCAAGAAGGGCGATCCCATACCTCTCGCCAACCACCTCCGATAAATTTGCCATGATTGCTTCTGCGCTTTCCCGCGAAAACCCATCAGCTTCTAAACGCTGAACCAGCTTATAGGTATCAAATTGATGCATCCCAGAAAAGTGACGCTTCCACAACGTATTGATTAGTTGCGCGCTCGGCAATTGGTAGGGTGCTGTCGGGGGGAGGAGATTGGATTGTAGCGTAGGAGGGAAGGCATTTGGTAGACGGGATGGGAGGCGGGTGGTGGGGAAGGGGGATGCTATTGACAATGACTCGGATTGAATTGAATTCAAAGCGGATCCCGTTGAGGCTGCAAATCGTTGGTGGTGTCGAAGGGTACACGTCCTAGTCCGAGCATTTGACAGACACTTTGTCGAGATACTTGCCGTTCTGCACACACTCAAAGCCGGCGCTATGGTATAGGGTAAAGAGATGAGCATTTTTGAAGATGCTGACAAGGTCCACCAAACCCAGCCTTACCGCGCGCTAGCATTTCTGACCGTCTTACAGTGTTTTAACTTGATGAACTTGAGCGGATGTGTTGTGATGATCAATGTGTTGTGATCTACTACGTTCTTGAAAAGAATCCAAGAGGTCTGTAAAACTGGCACCCTTGGTGGCAAGATTCCCGGCCAACACTCCGCCAAGGCCTGTCAGATCGGTTAAATTCCAGCCCTAACCCAAGTTATTCAAAGGCATTGGAAATTGTAAACTTATGAAGGAAAGTATGGTGGTTATGATGGTTACGATAAAGCAGTGATATGAGCATCACTGGTCATCTGCGACTTGTCTGATGGATCTCTGTCGCCGTCTGTCGCGTGTGAGATGTCCTCCTCCTTGAGACCAAGCCATTTGACGGCCTTCTTCTCAATGACCTTGTCCCGTTTATCAGTAGTGTTGAGGGCGGCTGGTGCAGTTGCAACCTCCTCTATAGATGCATCAGAGACGTCGTGTGCCGAATGCTTCACCTCGTCGTTGATCTTTTGTTCCGCCTCCTCCCAAAGAAGCAGCATTTTCAATTTGTCGCTGAGAGACGACATGACCTGGCTATGTGCTTTTGTAGAGACTTCCAATTTCTCCTGAACGCTATCCAAGTACGCCTTGTTTTGAATACTTTCCTGTAGTTGCCAAGGATATACAGTTGATGAGTACAAGTAGAGCGTGATTTACCAAGTAAAACTTACAGCTTGAAGGGAAACGAGCCATCCTTCAACTTCTTCCACGCGGTGCTTGAGTTGCTCGTTAATCTTTTGTTGAACTTTTCGCTCTTCTGCAATCTAAAAGGTAGACTTAACACTCGGAATAATAAAGGAGGTTGTAATCAAGGGGGGGGAACACATACCTTTGCCATTAGCTGCGTACTTCGACTTGTCAATCCTTGAAATAGATTGACAAACATCTTTCCGCTCTCAGATGCAGTGTCCTATGCCCAGTCAGTCTCCGCCATACCAAACGCGCGATATCCGGTACACACCTCATCTATCAGCTCGTCTAACACCAAGGGAGATACTGGGGCTACCGTTTCATCCAACTGCGCCGTAATCGCATTTGTCAAATGTAGTAGACCCTCTGCTACACGAACCAGATCTTCAGACTGGATGTCTAGCATTGGAGGTGGGGCTTGAGGTGGTGATGCATTCTTCTTCTTGACGATACCAGACGAGGACCTCTTGATGGGATCAGCAGCATGGGTATTCTTCGTCTCACTGTGACCATCTATCTTGTTGATGGGCTGTAAGGGAGTGCGGTAGTCCGATGGCGCTTGCTGATCGGCCATTGTCTTCATTTTCCTCACAATGCGATTGGTTTTCTCCCACACTCTAACCTCGCCGTCAAAGTCAACTTCAGGCTGGGCATGTCCCCAGTTGCGGCGGGTAGCGGGTGATGGGGGGCGGAGGGTAAGTTTCTTGATGGCCGGTTGGAGATGTGTTGAGGGCGAGGTTACCCGGTTGTCTGTGGACGAGACTGACAAGGTTTCTGATGATATATTTGGAGTTGAGCGTGACTGGCGGAGAGATCTGTTGTTTTGATAAACAGAGTGATATTCAGGTATCGGCGATCCTGAAGGGGTCTCATTTTCCAGGTTTTCGTCAAAGTCTTCATCGTCCCGGGTGGCATCAGGTAGCTGTTGTTCATTGCTGGCCCGCGTCAACCATGCCAGCTCCGCAAGTTCCTCATCCTCAAACTCCTCGAACTCTGGATCCTCAAATGCGTCCCGGCGAAGCTGTTGATTGCGATGTTCCAAAGTATATCGCTCAGCGTTGGCTTTCCGGAGTCTCTGGAACCAAAACATATAAGCTCAAACATGTGCACTCTTATGGACCTCCCGGCACAAAGCAAAGTCGCATACCAACTGCAAAGGAGAAAGTTTGAGAGCGCTTAGATCTTGAGTTGTCGAGTCCCACTGGCGTTTCTTCCTGGGCAGGCTGGTTGATATGGGTCGTCCTGGGGGTCGTCTAGAGTTGGTCGCTGACGAAGGTGTTCCCCGGCGATGCCGCGCCGTACTGGGAGTGGGTTCGGCGGACCGCGGCTTCCCGAAAAGTCGTGAGGGAAACTCTGAAGCGTTCCTTGGTGTTTGAAGTGCCATGTTTGTGAAGCAGAAAAAGCTTTTTTGATTTGGTCCGAGTGCCAAAAAGTCAACCGGAGTTGTCAAGGACGCGTCAAGATCCCAATAGGAAAAAGAACAAAAAAGTCGCGTCAGCACTAGGGTTTGAACCTAGGATCCCAAAGGGAACCAGATTTCAAGTCTGGCGCATTACCACTCTGCCATACTGACTTGGTGGATTTCAGGACATGTCTGGCATTGTTTTCCATTCATCCCGAATAGACATGACTGTCCCACACTGACTTCTTGTCCATAGTGTGGCGGTGAAAAAGAGTGGCATAGATAAACGACGCGCGTTTGTTATCGATAAACAAGGTGGCAAATGTTCCCACGCTCCGTCTATAAAAGGCATGTCTCCTCAACGTCCCCCTGCTTTTTTAGACCTGCGCCTCGTTCACCAGTATATCTGAAAATGACGATTTGGTGGTGCATGGGTCCACGTCCTCCCGATGGTGCAACTCGCTGCTCTGAGCCAGTGATGAATGGGCAAGCTTCCAGTTCAGCTATTATGCTACTGCGATTGCAGGTAAGGCTCGTGAATGTTTGCCATTACCCCTTCTCTTTCTGTTTAAAGCTGATCAATGTATTGTACATAGTATCCGAAGATCCTCCGACTTGGGAATCCACCCGGTTATTCGCTCCCGACGGCAAGATTCAGGTTCACAGCCACCAAGAGATTCGGACACCGGCCTAGTAGGATTTCTCGCGTAGTGGTGGATGCATTATCCGGTTCTACCAACCGTTTTGTATTGCATGTATAATGTGTCTAGTAGCTAGATCAAAGCTTTTTCCGAGTCAGTTTACGCTGGGTCTACCTCGGTAGATGACCTAGACGGGAGGGTTCTCAATCAGTTGGTGCTGGCGGCTCCTGTAGGATAGCTGTGTGTATGTATATGCCATTACTTTCCGCCGCCACACTATAAAACATAGTCTCCCCTCTTTTTGTTTTCCAAACAAGAACCAGTAACACCTCAGAAACTGGAGGATACCTTCATCGTTATGCCTCTGAGCATTCAACTCACCTACTGTGACGAGGACTCGGTTTTCATCGCAAAAGGCGAGTGCCCTCCTTCAAAGGAGAACCCATACCCGATCGGCATCTGTTGCGCAGACGAGGACTACCTTGAAGTCCTGCGAAGCATTCGTGAGCAGGCGGAAGAATTTGCCCCCGGGTCGGACCCTCAAGTGACCCTCGATACCAAGGCTATCGACGCTTTTCTCTCAACAAATACTGCTGGCAAGCCGCCGCATCCCTAGTTGTAGCAAACTAATGAGGAGCTGATGACCGACCTCCCGAAAATTATGTCTGTGAAGGATCTTGCCCGAGCCTTGAAGTGGAAGTGGTGGATTTCATCTCTCGTTGTGCGTTGCTGTTCGGCACTGTCAAATGGACATGACTTTCCCACTCGGAAACTTGACCTCCATCCCACCCGCTTAGACACTTCCCCACCATCTTTTTAAATCGCGTACTTGTGGGCTGATACATGGTTGAAAGGATCGGGTGTCTTCTATAAATGGAGTATTCGATGATCCCCATGGATAATATCATACAAGTATAACACCCCCCCCCCCCCCCCCTATTCCTACTTCGAGCATGGATATCATTCGCCTTTGCCTCTTCTACGTTGCTTTTTCTCGGGCAGATTATATTAAGCTCGACATACAGTCAAGAGACTTTGAGCATCTCATGGGGACGGCTTTCTATCCCACCAACGACATTGTGACGGCGATTGGCCTGTTATCCGCCGCAGGAAAGCCTGTATACAGCCAAATGGTAGCAAATGGCAACTGTAACATAGCCTCCACCCCATACAAAGCTAACGTTCCATAATCGCTTTTCCCATCGGAGTTATTTATTTCTTCACAAATCGTTCCCATCCCCCCTCTCTGTTGTTTCTTATTTAAATTTGTATTGATGCATATAGACATATTGGGGAGGCAGGACCTTGTTACCCACAAATAGCCAACACACCTTTGCCATAGCTATAGCATACTATGACTGTACTCGAGTATTGGTATCATTGGGGTGTCCGGATGGAATCTCGCCAAAGCCTGAATTCTGGAAGACGCGTCTGACAAGCGTCGTGCTGACAGCGCCTGACACGAGCTGTTGATAAAACTGTGCCAGCATCGCAGCTGCGCGTCAGGGACGAGAACCTGAATTGTCCGAAACCGCAGAAAACTCCTATAAAAAGCGGGAGCTTTCCTCCCCCCTCCACATTCCCTCTCTCCACCGTCTTGCTCTCCGATCCTTTTCACAATGGTGCCTCAAGCCGCGAAGCAAGCGACGGCCTGGACGACCCAAGTATTTTTCTGGCGGGACGACCGACTGTCACCGACTGTCATTTTAACAAAAGTCCCCCGCAATCACATACCATCCACAACAACGTGAACCATATACTTTCAACGCTTTGTATTCTACACGGGAGGAGGGAAACTTGTCCGGTACACGCAGTCCCGTGCAGCACAAGGGGCCTCAGTGGTGTTTGACCTCGGTCACACATTGCTGAGGCTCCGACCCCAAGGGATATGGACACTGAGCCGTGTACTGAACCACACATGGAGGAAGACATTGTGGATCCCATAAAGGTCATCGCCGCCGGATGAATCGTGTGCCAAGCCGTACTATATGCGAGATATGCTTGTCGAAATGGTACCCCGCTTCGCATTAGTTATGATGGTCCTCTCTGTGTTCTTGTTTGTGGGAGGGCTGGTGTCAGTGTGTGAAGCCCTCCTACACCCAGCGGCAGCGTCAGAAGCATCCTACCAAGACTCCAAAGGCGACGTCGATCGACGCACACAAGTTCCTGCCGACGTGCTATACCGCAATGGCAGAGACTTGGATGCGGTGCATGCGGTTCAGGGAGGAACCCATGGTGGAACCCATGGTCGGCATCGATTTTAACTCTGATGTCGAAGCGTGTCCGAGTCCAACCCATATGCACCTGAGGTAGATGAGATGGATGTGGACGTTCCTGCTGAAATGATGGATGTTGACGGCAACCCACCTTGTGTGTGGCAGGTAAGATGTCTTCTTGAGTTCTGTCCTGTATAACACCATTTCTGATCTGGATCATCTCTTTCACGACAGGACACTGTGATGCCCCCGGCACCGATGGTAGTGATTGAGCACCGAGTGGCAAGTCCGGTGGTTCCGCCTGCGGTTCCATTCGTGTTTGTCCGTTCCAGCTTTGCCGCTGCCTGCCGGGACAGTAGAAGTCAAGGGGAAGGCGGAGGCTTTGGCCAAATCGAAGCTAAGTGTATTCGAGGATGATTCTGACGACGATGAAGAAGATGGTCGCCCCCAATCCACGGCGGCAACCAAGAAGTCTCGGCCCGCGGTATCGGCAACGGTGTCCAGTGCCGGTCCTTCCACCATTCAACGTCCGAAGCCTCTCCCGATGCGCAAGTTCCGCCAACCCCAAGGACGTTCTGGTCGCTGAGCATACAAAACCATCAAGCATAGAGAAGTCAATCAAATTTCGCAAAGAAAAGTAGAGTGTCACCACTTTGGGCGGCCTTTACACCAAAACAATTTCAAAAAGTATCAAACGCCCACAAAAACAGCATCATCGCCTACAATATCTTGTACAGCACCATCCACCCCCGCATCAAATACATTCCGTCTTGAGCGTGATTGTGGTTTTTTCCTGAAATTGTGTATGTGCTGAGTCGCAAATTTTGTAGGATTTTTTATAAAACAATTTTATTGAAAAACAACGCATCCCTCTTCCCATTCGCCACTACAAATTGCGCACTATGCTGTCCATGCTTGCAACAGTTCCTTCCTGCCGGTCAGACCAGTCATCAAGACACGCCCGACGATTTCTTCGTAAAGATAAAAGCCAAAAACATCAAAAGGATGCCAGTCGCAGATGCCAGCCCAATCAATGTCCTAAAGGCCCTCTTGACCTCGCAGCCTTCGTCTGATTTAAATATATATTTTGACCTACGACCATCCATCACTTGCCTGCTTGCCTCAATGTCGGAACGTCGTCGTCAAAGTAAGTTTTCCCACCGATCTCATACCCTGGATGGCAAAGGAAAACGAATGATGTATGATGAAACGGTAACAGCGTTCTTAGTTTCTATCCGGGCCAATGGCAACCCGTACGCGTGATCTGGCACGGCGGACATAGTCCTGGAAGAAAACTCCCTGGAGTGAAAAGTTCAGATCTCGGCCGTATTCCTAGATCCCTGATACGCCTGCCTCTCAGTCTTTCTTTATATTTTTTGTCCCCACCCACCATCCCTTTTGTATTGACTGTATTGTATATTGGGGAGACGCGTTCAGGTCTACGAAAAACAGAGATTTTATTGGGGCGGCTCGTGCGAAGCGAGCGTCACTATCCGCTATTCACGGTGCGGCAGGACATTGGTGGGAAATTAATCCAAATTACTTGGGAATTAGCAAAGGAAGTTGGTAAATTGATCACTTACGTTCTTAACTCCTGAAATATGGTTAAGTTTAAAACAATCTCAGATAAACTTTTCCAACCAATCAACAAAAGTAAAGTGTGCCTTGTTTCAACAAACAGATAGGGATGTATACTGGCACCGCGTCTCCGAAACCATGAGCCCGCTTAGCTCAGTGGTAGAGCGTGAGGCTTTTAACCTTAAGGTCGTGGGTTCGACACCCACAGCGGGCGCATCTCCCCTTTTTGTCGGTTCTGCGTTTGACATTTTGTCTGTTGTTACTCTCTCTCTCGTTCAGACGGTGAATCGAGTGAGCGGTCTCTTTTTGACAAACCTTTCCAACGTTTACTTCGAATCAGACTGTTTCCTGATGAATTCACGAGATGAAGGGATATGTCATGCTCCAGTTCATCTGTAGTTCATCCTTCTTCTGCAAATGATTTTGGTCTTCCTAAACTGGTGATTGGTAGTTGTCAATTCGTTGTCAATGACATACCAGACTTTCACTTTCAGGTTAACTGCTATTTCTAGTATGGTCTGAGGCAAGCAGATACCATTCGCTTTCCTAGTGTCAAGATGCGAACAGTCGATTACGCTGGAGACGGACTTTGAACAACGGAAATGGAAATCAATAGGTCGGCGAGGGAAAGAAAGAATAGATGAATCCGTGATCAGAGGAAGAAATTCGAATAGTTGTCTTTCATTTTTATCACCGAGGTTCTTTATCCTTTTGAAACAGGGCACGCGTAAAGCAA